GCGGCTGTTGGTCGGAACTGGGCTTCCACTGCCTTGGTTGGCTTGAACAGCACATTCGAGCGGCCGTAGCCGTAGAGTTCACCAGCTGCCTTGGTAGCAGCTGCGACATAATCACCTGCTGGTTTCTCAAAACAGGAAAGTTCTCAAGAGCTCAAGGATATATGGTTGCGCCCCGCCGGCCACCCCACCCCCTCCCCCGCCCCAAGCTTGAGTGGGGTGCTGGCACTTGTGGTTCTAGCATTCTGTTTCGGTGACCACAAAGATGTCTTGGCTTGCTTGTTGATGGCTTGCAGGTGGTCACCCCCACCAATGCGCACAACAAGCTTGACTGCATCTTCTTTCTGCTTCCCCCATCTCCCCCCCCCCGTGGTCCTGTGAGGTGCTGGCACTTGTGGTTGTTTAGCCTTATGCTCCGGTGACAATCAAAGATGTTTTGGCTGCTGGTTGATGAGTTGCCCCTCTTGTGTGTTTGGCTTGCAAGTCGTCAATGGAGCAATGGCTGCAAGCATGAACGGGCATCTCGTTTCCCCGTCTCCACCCCCCCGGTGGTCCTGTGGGGTGTTGGTACCCGTGCTGCTCTGAGGTTCTGGTTTGGTGAAAATTAAATCGGATTTTGGCTTACCAGAAATTCGCCTTCCTGTGGGTTTGTCTTGCAGCTGGTTTATCATGGTTAATCGATCACATCATGATGACCGCATGCTCTTTCTAGTTTCCACCCCTCTCCCCCTGTGGTCCCGTGGGGTGTTGGCGCCTGTGGTCCGCAAGGGTGCTGTTTCGTGACTTGACAATCAAGCTTGGTTTGGGCTTGTTGCTTTATGATGTTCCCCTCTTCTGGGTTTGCTTTGCAGGTAGTTAATCGATCAGTGGCTCCAAGCGTTATGGCAGTACGTCTTGAAAGACGATGACAGTTAGGAGTATTGTGACCGGGATGCCCACCATCCCTGTGACTGTACGCACTTTTTAGACCTGGCACATCAAAAACAGATACGAGAATGGCGCCTCCGAGGCCTCAAAAACGAGGACAGCTAGGAGGATCGCGAGCTTGACACCCACCAGCCCGGTGACTGTTAGTTTTGAGCTCTTCGACATCGAACACGACGATAGTTACGAGGATCGCGAGCTCGACACCCACCATCCCCTGTTCACACTTTTGAGAGGCCTGGGCTGGGGGTTACCTGGGGGGGGGCTCAGAACGCACAGCGCCCAACCATATGGTTGCAAATTATGAGTGCGCGGGCGGCTAGGGATCGTGTAGGGCAAACTTGAGAACGCCCACCTCCATCAAGGTAGGTCTTGGAGATCTTCTTGATGGCGCTGGCCCAAGCTGCCTGAGCCTTTTGCACATCTTTCTCGCTTATTGTGTTGGAAGGAGCGGCTGCCGGAGCAGAATTGGAAGGAACCGAGGAATGGTGCAGGAANNTTGCCGTCAGCATTCTTCTTGTAGCCAAAGAAATGAAATGAAATGAAAGTGATGACGGAGGGATAACAAGTCCTGCCCGCCAAACACATCTAAGAGGCTTGTGGCAGCGGCAGGTCTGCACACAAGAAACGCAAGCCAGTGTGATTGCAAAACACAGTCAGGGAGCCTGCCACGGGCCCGGCTGGTGTGGCAGGGGTGCACAGGGTAGGGTTCAAGCGTTCAAATACCGCTCAGCAGCAGCTGCAGAAAGAAGGATGGCCTGTCTTTCCCAAGTCTTAGCCTGCTCACGACGTTCATGCCATGAACGTCTCAAAGACAGCTGGTGCAGCTCACGACATTTCCGTGACGCACCCTCGTCAGCTTTCGCGTTCCATGCCTTCTGCAGGTCAGGGGGGACGCGAGTCCAAGGCCTCCAGCGCTGAGGACGCTTGTAGTGCCAATGCAACGTGAGGGAAACACCCCTCGACTGCGCGTAGCGCATGCACATCGTCAACTAGGCCAGGTAAAGCCTGGCCATGAGACTGCACCGATGAGATGGCGGACTCACAGTCCACGAGGACGTGCACAGCTAGACCTGAGGCAAGATCCACTCACAAGCGACATGACCATAGTAGTAGTAGTAGCAGTAGCAGTAGTAGTAGTAGTAGCAGTAGCAGTAGCAGTAGTAGTAGTAGTAGTAGTAGTAGTAGGTGCAGGGATACCGAGTCCTGTGCACTGTCCAGTCCATGGATGCCCGAAGGCAGGGATCACAGCAAAGAGGAGGCGTAGGCCTCCCCAGCACGAGGACTAAGAGACACGGCAGCGACTTCCCACCGAAGAGCTGAGGCCCGTTCAGAAGCATGATCAGCACGCAAGCTACCGTTCCACCTCCGTAGCATCGAAGTTCGGGCAGCGTCATCGGCAGCCTGATTCCATCGCCTCCAAGATGAAGAGTCATAGCCAAGCGGCCCACTCCACTCGCGCCCATGAGCAGGCACCCAAAAGGCATCGAGCGCAATTCCCCGCGAACGAAGTGTTCGCCACCCCTGTGATGGACTGAGAAGGCCAAAGCCGGAAGGACCTGAGAAAACCCTCCGTGAAAGACTTGAACAGCCGCCTCACAATCGACGATGAAGACCACATGCCGAACAATGGAAGCTGCGGAAATCTCAAACGCACGCAGTAACGTATCAATCGCAAAAAGCTCAGCCTTGAAAGGAGAGCCATCCTCGCCAGGAACTCCACAAGCCAATGAAGCGTCGGCCTGGGGCAAATAGAAGCCAATAGCAGAAACATCATCTCTGGAACTGCCATCACAAGCAACAAATACCTCCTCACGCAGGTTGATGACTGTAAGAAGTGCTTCGACAAGCTCAGTACGAAAGTCGTTGAAATCAAGTACAAAGGGTGGTGGAGGCCAAGACCGAACCGGTACTGCAAGAAGTCGCTCCTCGCAGCGGCAGCGGGGCATCCTCAAGCCTGCGCGCGTGGAGTGAGTAGCGTCGCAGACCCATGCCAAATGAGCCCGGCTGGGCTCTCTGAGTCCGCATAAACAGAGATCAGAATCAGCACCAAGTTTCTTCGTGAAATGCCAATAGTTGCCCCCAGAGGCCAAGGCCGCGAGCTTGGCATCGCGCAAGCTGGATTGAGATCGCCAGACTTTTTTGTGCCCAGCAGCTAGAACTACTCGATCGCGATCCGGACCAGGAAGAAGCAAGCCTTGCGCTAATCCTTCACCATCACCATGCAGCGACCTGGAAGTACGTCCACAAGCGCGCAGAGCCTTCCTACGATAGCAATCTTTCAGCCAAGCAGTGGCGACCTTGAGGGAATCATCACCAAAGTGAAGGCTCCTCAAGCGATCCTGACTGTCAAGAAATGAAAAACCAGAACCATCAGCAAAGGGAGTCCACTGCATTCGCCCAAAGAGTTCAAGACCCGTAGGAAGCAACTGCATCCACGACAATGAGCCAACATCCAAGCCTGCAAAGTCCTGCCAGCGAGGAGGTCTTACAGCGAAGCGCGCCACTGCTTGCAAAGTGGCACAATCCAAGACATAGCCAACAGACGTGAGCCATTCCATGATCTCATGAAAAAGCGCAGGCGGCGTCTCATGAGTCAAAGTGCGAAAAGCTTGCCTGAAATGATTTTTGAGAGACTTCATTTCATCTGAATTTGGCCTTGCAAGCCCTCCAGCCCACGAAGCAAGCGAGCAAACTAACGCACGAAGATGATGTGCAACACCTGCTGGAGACCTGGCCACGCCAGGAATGTAACGAATCAAAGCTGCAGCTTTCTCGAGAGTAAACTTCTGCAACTTGCACGGCACAGAAGGATCAAGAGAATGCACCAGACCCAGAAGGGCGAAATCCTGCTTGAGCTCGTAACCCAAGGAATCAGCAAGAACCTGAGCGCAACCCTCCGTGCTGACAACCGCAGATTTGGCTGGGTCGCTGCGAAGGTGGAAGACCTCGTCAAAAAGCTTGCTGCGCTGCGCAGCCATGTGAAGAACCCCAGGAAAAGAGTCCCTGTAACTCCAGTATGAGCGATCGTCGATATAAGTCAATGCTGTAACCTGACCAGGAATGGAAACAGTCACCGTCCAAATGTGCATAACAGACCCTGCGAGCAAGGGCGAAAGAGGGCAGCCTTGCAGAAGCCCTGGCTCGGTTGCAGCCAAACATCATCCAGATGGCCTTGAAAGGACAGAAGCCTCAAAGAACCAGCATAGAAACTACTGATCAAAGCGCCGACCTGAGGAGGGCAATTCAATCGGTCAATCACAGCAATGACCAAGCTCCAATCCAGCGAGTCGAAGAACTTCGCCAAATCCTCAGACACAAGTGCGCGAGTCCCAGCTCTCAACGCAGCACGGATACGAGTGTGAGCATCGGAAGTGCGAGCATGGCAGGCCGCTAAAGGACTTGTCCCCCAGCCAAGTCGAGATCCAGGGCCTCAAGCTGGTAGTGATGCAACGGGCTCCACATCTCCAGCACACAGATGCGATGTCAGAGGACGAAACGTGCCATCCTTCTTCTTCAGCAGGGACGCCCGAGACAGCTTCCAGGCGTCCGGGATCACACTCGTAATGAAAATCTCCTCCCATTGAGCTGAGAAAGACTTCCACCAAAAGGAGGGGAGCAGAAGGAGGGCAGAAGCCTCCCAGCCATCAACGCCGGCTGCACGTTTCTTCATACGCTCCATGGATCGTTGCAAGGCTTTCACTCCGAGGTCGGGAGCAACTCGGCAACGTTCAGGCCTAGGTACCTGTGCCAAAACTTCGTCGACCGGGGTGTGTGGCCAACCACAGGTGGCTCCATTTGTCCCTCTCCGCGGCAAGCACCTGACGGGGAGCAAGCGGAAGAGACAGTACCCGGCTGGGATCGTCTGCATGGAAGCTCCTTGACAAGCGCAACGCAGCGGACTTTCTGATCCAAAGCGATTGAGCCGCCAAGTTGTCCTTCATGGAGGCACGCCACCTGGCCAAATTGGCTGCAACCAAGACCGTCTCCTGGTCTGAATGAGAGCACGAACTGCTTCCAAGTCGGCCTGCAAATCCTGCAAAGTCACCACATTCAAAGCGGGAAAAGACGCACGCGGTCTCGGATGAAATGAGCCAGCCTTCGGCGCAGACGACGTAGTCTCCTCAAAGCAAGGGGCTCAGCACCCACGGCTGCCTTATGCCGCTGGGGCATCCTATAGCAAGGTTGCCAGACCTGACGCCGTGCAACAACTGAAGGATTCGGAAGCTCCCAACCAGAAAGAAAACCCTCAGCATACTCAGACAACACTTGCCACTTCTCGTTGATGGAGCCGGCGCTACCGAAGAGAGAGGCAAAGTCACTCTCACGCTCAGGCTGTTTCGAAAGAAGCTCTGCATCAGAGCAAAGCTGGATGCGGGACGGCTTGTTTGCTCCAGGAGGAACACATGCACCGTGGAACGAATAGAAGACACCACTGTGATCTGCGATGCCGGGGACTGTACAAACACTTGCAAAAGAAAGGTCGAAGCTCACTAAACCGTAATCAATGCGACGAACTCCCCCAAGGCCCAGTAGCGGGCGGAGGAAGAGCCGCGATATCATCGATAAGCTGCAACCTGAAAGAAGCTGAGCAATAGGCGCTTCATGGCTCTGGAACTGAAAATCCCCAAGCACAATGACAGGCGCGTTCAAACCTGCAAGAGTCTCAAAAAGCTCCTGTAACAGCGATGCAGTGGAGTCCGCATCACCATCCTGGACATACGAATCGAACAAATAGCCCGGTGATTTGGTGATTCCAGCATATTCATATGATTGGGGTTTATTCATCTGAAATAGGCAAATCGAACGAAAAAGTTGAAATCGAATGAATATGTTGAAGCAACTTGAATTTGCTGGCGTTGTTGTTTGAAATTAACAGGGGTCCTCACGTGGCCGGCCCTGTTGCTCGTTGTTGCTGTAAATTATAAAAAGGAGGTTCTGACATGGCCGGCCCTGAGCGACATCCCAAATTTGTTGTCACCAACTTTGCGAAAGAACCCTGTATGCTATATATATATACACATGCACAGAAACGGTATGAATTAAAACGGTACTTGTCTTGATGCCTGCTAGCATCCTTAAGGCCCAACCTAGCGCCACAAGAATGCGGATGTAGAACAATAGCGAATATGTGCAAAATGCATATAGCATGCACGTTCAAAACGTCCCTGTTCGGGCACCCTGGGCTCTAAAGACGCCAGGGTTGGGAACTCCCTTAAAGTCCTTTGTGTGCGCACTTGGGTTCCCAAACTCATTCTACCTCTTCGGGTTCCTGAAGCACCTATGCTTGGGGGGAACCTAATTAAGCCATAATCCTACACCCTAAACCTTGAATTTTACAGCCCGATTTAAGGTTCGGACTGAATTTGGTAGGCTATGAGTTTACTAGTTCATGGACTGAAGTATCGGATCTGCTGCCAGGAA